CCGAACCAACCATGCTAAAGCCTACGTAGACCTAAGCCCGACAACTTAACTACGCGGTCAGGGTTTAGGGTTTAGGGTTTCGGGTTCAGGGTTTAGGGTTTCGGGTTTAGGGTTTAGGGTTTAGGACCCATGTGGCAGTGTGTGTGTGTGTGTGTATTTATGGTCCTTGTTGCGGTACCCTTTATACCGTAGGGGCTGTATTAGACTAGAGCCACCCAAAGTGATCACACTGTTGACACGCTTCCATCATAAACTACACAAGGAGTCTGGCATCAAATCAAGAGTGTTGAAGGTTTCTGGGTGGAATGCGTCACCTTTCTGCTGCACAGGGTTCATTTCTAAGTTGTGAGGAAGCGTACTTAAAGCTTTATGTAAGCGGGCCTTGATTCCGTCGTTCTCCACTTTCAATCCAAGGTATAACTGCCCATTAATATTTCAAATAGGGTCATGAAGACATGTGCTAGATAGCTGTGGTAAGGTCACAATCCACAACTGCCTCTTCCAAGCAGATCTGTCGTGCGCCTGCACGAAGGGGGGGGGGGGGNNNTTAGGGTTAGGGTTTTGGGGCTTAGGGGTTCAGGGGTTTAAGGGTTTAGGGATGGTTTAGGGGAACAAAAAAGCAATGGAACCATATGGAAACTATTGTTTGGGGTGTGGGGTATCTGGTTGCGCTGGGTTTGACTAGGAAGCCCACTGTCACCCCTTTTACCCGCTTTGGTTAAGGGGTTCCTGTCTCAAGTTATTGTCATCTGGTGCAGGGCTACAAGCCTTGAGGAGAGAGATCGGGATTTTGCTGAGCAATTTATACGACCTCACCCGACCTCACCCTACATGGTGGCTTATCTTGGGAATAGTACAAAATGGCCCTAAATTGGGAATTGAAATTATTCTAAGTTATCCAGATTACCCCCCTCAATAAACCCCTTAGCATTCCTCTAGATAATCCTCGATATAACCCCCTTTAAGGAGTTTAGACAAGGGGTACCCTGGGTTTTTAGATTTGAGCATTGGGGCTGTGGCCTCGGACTCTGGGGCAAGCTTTCCACCAGATCGAGTGGTCAATTCAACACAGGTGTCATTTTGAGGCTTGCCTTACCCTAAGGCTCTTGGACCCTCATAATGGGATCCTAAACCCTAGCCCCCAAAGCCCAAACCCTCCCCCAGAAAGCCCCAAGTAGTCCTAGGAGCCTTAGGGTAGAGGTGTCTTATGTTTCAGGTTTCAAGTCATCTTGCAACGGTTCACACGATTTAAGGTGTGGGATTTAGACAGCCTGCCTTCGGATTACTGTGTGCACGGAACCCAGAAGCAATAGAACATGTGCCGCTGACAGGGACGAGGCAAAATGGAAAATGGGGGACCATTCGAATCTGGAACCCAAAGCCCCAAACCCTAGTTGGAAGTTCATTGGCAGTTATAACTTGGCTAAAGGTAGGATGCACATGCGGAAACTCCAGTCTAGGCACTTACAACCCACCCCTAACTACCCATCAGCTTCCAGTAGCGTCCCCCTCGCGTCTGCTAACCTAACCCACATAACCTGAATTTGCTGGTGTCCAAAGATTTGGGTTCCTTGTTTTCGGTCCTGCTCAGGGGTAGAAGAGGGGGGCACTCGTTCTTGGAAACTACCTGATTCTTTTCTTCCATCCAAGGAAGACGCCCTTCGTGCAGCACCTGACATTTGACTTCGACCAGGTGTTTGATGGACAGGCAGGGTCTGGGGAGGCTGTTGCAATTAGACTCCGACGTTTCTAGCGCTGTGTAGAGTCTGCTAATGCGGGCTAAGCGATCTACAGAGTTTTTGTTTAGATGCTTGCAGTGGAATTCGTTGAAATCTTTCTTGAGTGAGCGATGTCATAATTATGATGCGGCTCCGACCATGTAGCCCTCGCCAAAGCTGGGCAGTAGCAGCGCCAGCAGCACACGAACTTCATATGCTTGCCGTCACTCCGCTGGATGCTGAGCGGTTGCGGGAATGCAGCTCCTTGTCGTACACCAGCTGTTCGGGTTGTCACATTCTTACGTGTTCCAAGCTATAATATGGTAGTTTCCGTAAATTATGTATTCCTAGTTTACATGTAGATTTCCATTTTCACTTGATTCTCCACTGCTGGGGTACTCTATTTAGCTTGAGGTGAGCAAATGGACAGCAAACACTTTTGATTGATAAGACCCCTGTAAGTAGTAGCAGTCTACGAACTTCCATGCATGCCGCTTGCTTTGCTCTCAAGCTTCAAAATGAGAGTTTCCAAAAATTATGGGTAGTTTTTTGGGGGTCTCCATAATAAGGACTATAGTGCTTTGGGGTCTATATTGGGCTCCCCCTATTTTGGGAAACTACCAAATCAACCCCGGTCTCAGGCAATCGACATAGCGGGGACTTACCAAGCATCAGATGCACGCAAGAGTTTCTTGCCTTCAGTCTTGTTCATGACAGGTTACGAGGGATGTGCCTAGTCTTTAAGCTTGTGCACGTTCCGGTTGGGCTGTCAGTGGTTGTCTGAAACATGTCGTAGGCAAAGTTGGTTTTCTTAAGTCCGTACAGCTCAACTTTGCAGTGCCAGTTCTGTCCAAGAACCTCTGGGAGCTTGGTTCATGGCATGCAGTGGCAGGTATGGGGGTTCTCACAAGTTGGGGCTATGGAGCGAGATGAGAACAAACAGGCCCGCTGGCAGGCCAATGCTGGTTTTGCTCGGAATATCGGCTACCTGGTTGCTCGCTCCAAGCTTTGCCCTGCACAAGCAGGCACCTCTAAGCCGGAATCGCGATCGTGTGGGTTTGGGCTTACACACCCGAGTGAATGATCAAAGCCAGCCGTTATCCACTGAGGGTAAGATGCTGGTCTCGAAGATCACAGAAGCTGGGCGGCAAGGTAAGTGGATAGACGTCAAGCAGATGTTTGCAAAGTACACTGACAAAGAGCTTCCCGTCTTTCACTCGGTCATGCATGCTGCATACACGTGTGGACAGTACAAGGAAGCAGCGCGAGTGTACCAGAAGCTGTGCAATTCAAAGATTGACAGGCATGTCCCCTGAACAAGCCCCTTGCGGCCGCGCGGATAGATGCTGCAGCTGTGGAAGGCGATATCCAAACAGCAGCGGAGGTGTTGGACGCGATGAAGCAGATTGGCGTTGAGATTGACAAAGGACACATCACGTCCGCGATCCGTGCTTGCTGGGAGGCCAAAGGAGCAGCCCACAACGCAGCTGCCTATTTGTTCCAGCTGTTGTTGGATCTCGAACTCCAACCAGACATTGCAATTTTCACGTGCCTAGTGGGAGCTTACAGAACGGCTCCAGTTGAAAAGGTCGTGGGCGCATACAAAGACATGCAGAGCATGAATATTAAAGCAGACTTTGCGTTTGCCGAGATCTACTTGGGCACGCTACTTTTGAAACCCAAAGTGCAGAAGTTCAATCAGAAGGAGATGACAGACTGGGTGCGGGCGGTACCGGCACCACGAATTGCTGCGGCAAAAGCCGCACTTAAGGACTTCGAGCGTGAAAGCCTTAAGCTGACATCTTTGAGCAAAGCATTTGCAAAGGCATTGCAGCAGATGTGATGGCGCAGCTGAGTCGAAAATGTTCCATGACCTGCTTCAATGCAAATGAGGGGTGCAATGTGCGCACGAGCTGTGCCCAAGCTGAGGGTCCCACAGTGCCAACAGAGCGTCCGAGTCCAGATGTCGCGGATACTTAGTTTCGTTGCGGCTCTTGAGTTCTAGATGTTTTGTTACCTCCCTAGAAAAGTATCCAACTCATAGCTTCATTCAAATGTTTCTGGCTCATTCAAGCAAACGTCAGCTTTCAAGTCGAAAGATCTTAAAGCGCAGGAAAGGTGGACAATCATGAGCCCACTGTCCGTCTCATGTTCTGGTTTCTTTTCCATTCGATTTCATATAATTTCCAGAGAACCTCTAGGCTGGCGCATCGCCATCGCTTTGCTGTCACAGCCTGGCAAAGGAGCCTGAAACAGAACCGAACCTCTAAGTCACCACTGTCACTTTTCACTCAAAACCCCCTGTTAATCTCTCCAACAATCAATCCCTCTATCGCCCTCTCTCTCACTTGTTCTTCACAAGATAGGATTTCATTTTGGGTTTAGTATTCATCCTCTACCAAAACAGCCAACATCTCCAAGAACGTGCAAGGTAACCATATATTTTGTTCTTCGTTCTTAGCATGGGAGCTGGTAATCCATGACCTTGCATAATGTGGTGGCGATCTACATCTACATGTCCATGCATTGGCTTGCAGCAGAAGCGTTTTGCATCAACGCCGGCTTCGCCAATCCCACGAGCCGTAATGCTAAACCTGATGCCTTAAACGCGAAAACCCTGAGCAAACACCCAACACGCTCTTGACGCTTGCGCACCTACGTAGTCCTAAAGCCCCACATGATGAGCAAACTATGTGCTTCTTGCAGGTCCACAGTCAAGACGTTTACCATCATGCGGCTGAGCAGTTGGTGCGGCGCAGCCGCAACCTGACAGCAGGATAATTTGTGCCAAACATCCTACACATGTCCGCACATTTTCTCTGAAGTCGTGTCGAACATGGTTCCCAACGCCTCAAATCTATCAGTATTGGTTCAGACCGTTGTATGATAGACGCGCGGAGATGTCGCAGGTATGGGCGGCGTTGGCACAATGCACCTGAGACGCACTTGGAGACGTTTGTGAATTCCAAACCTTTGAAGTCTGAAAGCTGCGTTGTGTGCAAGGGGCAAAATGGGGGTGAATTTGCTACCCAGACCCTCCTGTGTAGTTCCTTTTTGGGTAGTCCATTTTTTCCCTGACCGAAAAAACCATAGCAGACCCAAAAAGGAACTGCATTTGAGCCCTTGGGTAGTCACTGCATCACCTTTTGAAGTCCACTCCCGGAAGATACTGACAAGGACTTCCACATATGAAAGGAGGCCATGCGTGAAATCCTCCAAGGCCATAAGCGCTGGAGGAAATCGTGGGTCCCTAAGCTCTGGTAAGCCCTGGTTTATGGGGGTATGTGAGGTTGTGCAAGATTTCCTTTCTCCACCCAAAACCCCAGGCCCCAAACCTTAAACCCGAAACCCTCAACCCTAAACCCTCCCTCTCTGGGTAGGCCCCTGGGATATTTAATATTTTCCCTAATGGCTTTAATAGGTGACCATATATACTAACATTTTTCAATGGGTTTTAGGGGCCAACCTAGTGGTTTGAAAAGATTTTGAAGGTTGGTCATATTTCACAACCCGATAAGACATTTGAAGATGCCATCTTCAGTAGTATCCCAACAAGGAACCAGAGCACACCCAACCATGAACTCTTCCAGGACTGCTTTCTTTCACCCGATGCATCATGGTCTTGGTAGGCCCCCGGGGATATTTGATATTTCCCTAATGGCTTTAATAGGGGACCATATATACTAATATTTTTCAATGGGTTTTAGGTGCCAACCTAGCTCTGAAACCCTTAAACCCTGAGCCCTAAACCCTCCCTCTGAAGGTTTATGTTCGGACAAACGGGCAGCGGAAAGACGCATACGATGACTGCAATCCAGGAGCTTAAAAGCCGGGCAGCTGGTTGGTGCCTTTTTAAGGGTGGGGGCTTCAGGGGATATAGTAGGGTTTAGGGTTTAGGATTTGGGGCTTAGGGTTTAGGATTTGGGGTTTAGGGCTTAGGGTCTAGAGTTCAGGGTTATAGGGTGTATGTTGGGGTATGTTGGGATTTGAATTTGATATTCGAGGCTTCAAAACCCGTGGCTCCTCCCCAACCAGGTTCATCCAAGGCTAACTAAGGCAAGTCAAGGGAGAACCTTTGGGGGCTGTGCGGGGAAGTAGCTAGGAAGCCCTGATGTTGAAACTTCATGCTTGAGACTTGAGCTTTGCAGCAATCAGCGCGAAGTGCTCTTGATGTGATTTGGTAGTTACCATATGAGCTATAGTCTAAACTCCTTAAACGGGGGTTTATACAGGGGACTTCCCTAGGGTTATGTAGGGGGATGCTAGGAGTTTAGACTATGGCTCATGTAGATGACTGCTATCTCAGGTTCTGGGCCATGAGTTGTGTTGTGCTTTGGCTGAGGGATATAAATGTTGTTTTCGCATCGCCTGTGGGACGTGGCTTTGTTAATGATGTGTCCGAGTTGCTTCATGAATATCCATCCCAAGAACTGTATCTCAGAAGACCCTAACCCTAAATAGGAAAGCCTGATGATGCAGGTCCCCTACATCGCACGAATTGCCATAGATTTGAGAGCCTAATTATGATAGAGAGCCGTGCAAGGTTTCCTTTATAAACAACATCTTAACTTCAACTTCTAGTCAGCTTTTGCATTGGCTTCTGTAGTTTCTCTCAGATTTGCCCCTCCGACGGTTGCTCCCGGCTCTGGAGCCAAAAAGCCTCAAATTCTGAACCCAGGGTTGAAACAAACACAATTTGCAGTTCTTATCAGTCGTCTTCATTAGAAGAATTGAAATTGATCTTCAAGGTGTTTGGAAGGAACACGCAAAACATTCCTGCCTCAACTCAAAAGCGGACCTAGATGCAGGAGCAGGCCTCACGAGAGCTCTTCGTGGGAGCAGAGCCTGGAGAACCATGGTTGTCGGTACAGCGCCCTGGCTACGTTGCAAAAATACATTGATGTTTTCCATTTGTCATGTATGTCTTCCTCCCACTTTCTGCCTCGCTTGCCGCTCCTTGTATTTTCTCTGCTTCAAGCTTTCTGGTTTCTACGCCTGTGATTATCATTACATCGAAAGTCTGCGGTCCTTGCATCTACGTCTTGCGGCGGCTACAGTTAGTTTGATGATCATAACAGCTGTTGTTGCCAGTATCAGTGGTAGCCATGTGACTGATTTTTGTTTCATTGCTATGGTGTTTACTGTCATTACTGCTACACTTGTGACTACTATTGCCGGTACTTACTGCCGTCATGTACTATTGCGGAAAAAGTTTCGAAGTTTGACGAACATGTGATTGTGAGTATTGTCTCATTATTACAACTGTTTCTGTTGTTGCTGCTATTACCATATCAAAACTGACTAATTACACGTTTGCCAGTATTTCTGTTATTAGGGCTACTACGCGCACATGCGTAAATGTGGGCATTATTATGCAGTTATTGCTGCTGTCGCTCCTCTCTTCTCAGCTAATAGGCTTACTCCTGCTTCCATTTCTGTTGGGATCAGCATCGCTGTCATTACCGCTCCTAGTATGTTGACAACCATTGCGCGTACTGCCAGCATCACTTCTAGCCGAATAGTCGTGTTATTACTCTTGTGATTGCTGTTGTTGCCGTTGGCACCATGCTTACTGTTGTTAGTAGTGCCTTCATTTGGTATCTTCGTTTTTACTATCATGGTTCTACAGTCACACCTACCGTTATTTTTACCCCAATAATATACCGGTATTGCTACTGTTCTTGTTACTACTATGCCGTTATGTTATGGATCTCACTTTTTACTAGCAGGGCTACGGTTGCAACACTGCATGTTTTGCCATTCTTCCTACACGTGCTACCGTGAAAATCCAGCACCTTTGTTACGGCTTTCGTTGCTTGTAGCCACCAAAACCACGATCACAACAACTAGTTACTATACACCTCCCCTTCTTGCTGTTGGTACTTCCAATCTTGGAGTAGTACACTTTAATACTTTTTTGGTTCCTGGGTTCTTATTATAACACCTTATACCTAAAAAGTCTATGCTTTTTTTTCCTGGTGTCTACTCCAAACTAGCCTAAACCCTAAAAACCCTAAGCCGCGTGGCTGGAATTTGTGGTATTTTGGGGTCTCCAAAGAGCATAAGATGCCGTGCAGGGCTTAGGGTTAAGGGCGGATACATGCCAGCTATAGTTTAAACCCCTTAAAGGGAGTTATGTAAGGAATTATGTAGGGTAATTTAGGGTTATGTAGGGTTTAGGGATTATAGGGTTTAGGGTCTCAACTCCTTAAAGTGATTATATATAAGGGATTATATAGGGGACTACTATAGGGGGTATCAAGGGGGATACTAGGAGTTTAGACAGTAGCTCATGTGGTGTCATTTCCTTCCTCAGTCACAGCACATGGAAACCAAAAAGGGTTCTGCATGCTCGGGCATGCTTTGTACGCACCCTTGAGGTTGATCATAGGCGTGAAGCATATTTCGACCTACTGAACCCGAAGCCCTAGACCCTCAACCCTTTACAGCCCTAAACTTTCAAACCCGCACACCCCTAACCCCAAAACCCTGCAATATATAAGTCCAGCAAGGCAAAATGTTAAGGAGAAACCTGTCTACAACTGCTCACGGACCTTTCTTATTGGTACCACCTCCTAGGCGGCTTGGGGTTTAAGTTGTAAGGTTTAGGGTTAAGAGTATCCTTCAGTCATCATTGTCTCCAGCTGCTGGCCTTCATGCATATGACGGGGGTATGATGGCCTAGGCTTGACGGCAACTGCTAGAGGATGGGGGTGCAGTGATTACAGGCGACTTTCTGGCATGAGGGGCTGGAGAAGCGTTAGGGAAGAGTGGCTATTCCCCATCCCCCGAAGCCATCTGAGTAGTATTTTAATTGGGAATACTATGGTGCCCATTATAGAG